GCAGTGGCAAATAAAAAATCTTGTGAGTATAGTTTGTTGTACTGGCAATAAGTAGAAAACATTTTATCATTTCTTTTACATATATACAAGTCGATTTATCTATCATACATATAGGAAACTAGAAAAAATAGTACAAATACAATTTTAAAAATGGGTAAAACTTTCGTTGATTTTTAACATTTATTAAATTAACGTGTCAATCGTGGATTCAAATCCTATACATAGTCTCACCCACGACCTACATTAGGTATAAAAAAAACTGTACAGCATAACATTTCCATTTTTTATATCTCACTTTTAAACACATTCGCTCAGTCATTCACGCAGCATAGTGCACAATTCTTTCCGATTTCAATATTTCCTATTTGTGTAATGTATATTAGTAACTTGTAAAAGTTTTGTCGGTTTTGAGTAATAAAAATATTTTCATTTATTTTCTGTAGATCAATGTGCATTGCCTATGTAGGAACAAGAAATAGAAAATAAGACAATTACAGACACATAGACTATCAATAAGAGTATAAAGAAATAGAATGTTCTATTACTCAAAACGGACGAAACGTTTGCAATTACCGAATACATAATCAAATACTCCTCATTTTTATGTATTTATATGCATCTGCATTGATGGATCACTAACCCATTGGGGTGGAAGTACTTTGGTATGGAATGTTATTTAATGAAAAGCATATAAAAGCATTAGAAACGTGCAAAAGCCAACAATAAGACCAAGTATAAGGGAGTCTCGTCTCTTGCGCAAATTTATCCTTTGCACCAGACTGTTCACTGCTGGAAAACGATTCGATATATCGTTCAGCCTAGTCTGTATGCGTTTAAACGCTTGCCTTTGAGTCATCAAATGATCCCGTGTCTCCATTGCTATACTTATTTGATCATTGATTAATCGATCTGAACTGAAAGTGGTAAGATTTTTTTTATTAATTTTGTACCTGATTAACAACGATTTATAAGAGACAAATCAACTTTTTAGTATGAAACATACATATTTCGAAATAAAATGAGCTGCAGAGCAAAGTTCACTTACTTATGAATATGCTGATTTTCCTTCATGAACATCTCTCTGCGATTCAGCCCACTTACACTTTTATAGTTGCTGTTCAAAGAACAAAATTGCAAATGTTATAAGTAACAATCTTTTGTTAAAAGTAACAAAACAATTATTTTACATACTCTATTTCTTTGCGAACGCTTCCAAGTAAATCTTCTCTGTCTCTTCTTGCTGCAAAATTATTTCTAATCTTATTGAATTCCAATTTGTAATCTTTCAATATATCTTTATGACGCTGCATAGTATGCAGCATTGCAGCACCATTTGGTTGTAACTCACTCATTCTCTCGTTTATAGAGAACAACTGTAACAAAGCAGTTATTCCATCTATTGAAATATCATTCTAATAGTTGAAACTTACTTTAGCTAACAACGCTTCTATTTCAGAAGCCATGTTTTCAAAAACATGTTCCTCGTCTAAAAGTGGTACTTCATCGCTGTTAACAAGCTTGGAACCTGTGTTAACACCAAGCTTGCTGAATGCGACAAGTTTCGCGTCAATCTCATTTTCTAAATGTCTTGCTTGCCTCCTTAGGTCTACAAAAAATACAAAATCAATAATAATTTCAATGTTATTCCATGCTTAAACTTTGTTGAAACTTATTTTAATAATCTCAACTACTAATGAAACCAGATTTAGAGCGAAAGAGTAGAAGAAAAAATGTTTGTAATTGATAATCTCCTTTAATAGGGTTAGGGAAATTAGCATTACATCATACATGACACTCAAACAAAGCAGCTTGTTAAAAGTAAATTTTAATTAGTGAATAGCGTGCAAATTATGATGATCGTGTTCGTTATCGTTCAATGGAACTTTGATCCAACCAAAGTAATCTTTCACTAGTAATGTTTCGGTAACTCAACTTTTACTACGTCTGAATAAAAAACAGCATGTTACTATTGTTTCCTTACAAAATGTAACAAAATAAAATGTGTTAGTGTTAGGATGACATATGTCAAAACAAGGTCGGGAAATAGTACTTGTTGGATAGATTGTTTGGAGTGACTTTCTCGATAATTGATGAGAAACGGAAGATTTCTAATGCAAGCGATGTACATGTAAAATCTACCTTCCCAGTCGACGGCATCTAATGAGTTAGCCATTTGACGCTCTGAAATCACGAGATATTTCTACGATATATTAGGGACAGTTACTGCATACGACATAACACAGTTCCACGGAACAGATGATGGCAGCAGACACCTATGAAACATAAGTAACCAAAGATAAACTATGAGGCGGCACATGGATGCACGCATACACCGATAACAGAACGAAAATGGCGGATGAACTTAAACAAGGATCATTCCCATGAAACGGTAATGAATATTCCCTATCGCGGAGGTGTCTAACTCAAGGGCAAGGGTGTCTAAATCAGTGCTCGTGGGCACTCTAGTGAGACTCCCCTCACGAAAACTTACCCTCTCCATGCCTACTGTGAACTGTGTATTAAACACTACATAGAACTGCTCACAAACACATTCTCGAGCGGTTCCTTGAGTAGAGGTAGTGGGGGAACTCTGTTGTGGGCGCTGCGTACCCCCACCCTCGAACAGCAACAAAGTAGGGGTTGCGATGAGCACGCCGACTTCCGACTGAGTCGAGGAACTCTTTCTCTCTGCCTAGCGCCGTCGAACCGCCAACGCATCAGATATGCAACACAGTTTTATTTTACTGCATATCTAGTTCCTTCTGGCAGTATAGCCTCTGTAACAGCGTTCCTCCACTATCTCTACCCAAGGAGCTGTCCGAGACCACAGACGAGGTATAGAATAAACAACATGCAATGTCAAATTTCGTCACGCTCTCAGGGGTACTAGTACCCCCATTACCATTTTCATGTCGCGCTCTGTCATATCGATTTAGGTTGGTTTTGCATGGGAACGCTGTAAGTGGTGGGAATTGGAATTAAAAATATTGAAGCAGACTTAATATACGTGCTTAGGAAAGATAAAAAGACTCTGGCATTTTTATCAAATATTTATTAAAAAAGTTGATATAATAATTCTTGTTACATAGTAGTTAACTGTTAGTCCATAGTATGTTCTTAAAAGACTGCAACAGACAGTTTGAGATCATTATAATAAATAATTACATGTAATTTGCATGCGTTATATTTATTTATTATGGTATTGCAAAGGTCGATTTGTCCCATTGTTTAGTAATATTATATCTGTTAGCTTTAGTTGTAGAGGAAGTAATAACTCTTTGAGGATTTTTCCTACAGTGCAATAATAATTTAATAGGATGAGATGTGTCGTTTTCCGCATTTCAGGTTATGTTTACCTTATCTGCAAGTCTTATTTGATGATATGCGTCTAATCTATTCTTCATTATGTGTTGTGTAATAATCGAAATATCATGTTTTGACAATCGGTTTCCGCATTAGTATGGTTATCGGCGTGTCATATGTGTGATGCAATTGTTGAGAAAAATTTTGTTAAACATGGAAATAAAAAAAAGACCCGTCAAATTGAAATGTGCAAGTCAAGCGGAAATTTTACGATCAAACCAAAGGGACGATGACTTTGTCAAACACTTGCGAGAAAAAGTTATTGATCTTCTACAAATTGTGGGAAGGCACACAGGTACCTTGCCCTTTATGCAAGCAGATATACCGTTTAAGTTGATCTACTTTTTTTTTACATCTGGAATGGGAAATCAAACATTAGGCGAAGAGTATACAGGAATCGTACAAGCTGACTTAAAAGCTCATAAAGTTCCATCTCTACTTGTATGTAGCGACAATATAGATGTGAAAATCTTCTAGTTACATTAATAATACATAATACTCGTCTCTTATGCAGGCAAGAGTAATATCGGTCATTTTAGAATGCTTTGGAGAGAAAGCATTATTGAAGATCTTGAAAAGACTGCAACTATCAATTAATCATCCTCATAGTGAATTAACTCCAGCAGCTTCTTCCTTTTTAAATTCATTTATTACAAAATTATGTAATATGATACCTATCTTCATATTAATTCACAAGGGACTTTTTTATACGTCTGGTCGATATTATAGTTTAGGGAAAAGATTAACAGGAATTGATTATGCAAAGGTAACTTGTACAAAAAAAGGTTTTTCTTCTTAATTTGTTTGCTTTACTTTGTATAAATTTGTTTTAAATTTAAAGGTATATGGACGTCGTCCAACTGACAGTATCAGTTGGGGATTAAGATTATTAGGATTTGCTACTTTAGCACAATGTGCATTAAAAATTTGGCAGGACAGTGGCAATGAGAATTATAGCGAGAAATATATAACATTTAATGAGAAAACCAGAACTTGTCAATTGTGTCTTGAAAGAGAATCAACAACCACTACCCCTTGTGGTCATTTGTTTTGTTGGTTCTGTATTGCAGACTGGTTAAATTGCAAATCCCACTGTCCTCTGTGCAGAGAGCACATTACATCATCCAGAATTGTATACGTGTTGAATTTATAATTTTTTTTTAAAAATGTAATCAGTCTTTTACTTAAATAGTTAATAAATTAAGGGGTAAATGATCCACTAGAATTATTTCATACATTTTAACATTCTTATAATTTTTCTTAAAATTCTAATTACTACGCATCTGTGCTAGCATTAATTTCATACAGATGACAGTAAGAAATATACATGTATGTGATAAATATAAAGAAACAAGTGAACACACACCTATTTACATACATACATATATATATATACATAAATATATATATGTATATATATACACACATATAATATTATACATATACATATAATATATATATATTTATATATATATATATTTATATATATATACAAAAATATCAAGTTTTTATTCATGTTAAGCGCTTACACGCGTTTCCTTGTATAACAATGTATTATTCACATAAACGATAATGTACAATGTTTCATTCTCATTGCATAGCGTTTTATAAAATTTTCAATTGAATCAAGGAATCAATAACAACGAACTGATGATCGTGGGGAAAGTTAATGACGTTCATAGTCACAAGGATGTGCGTTGAACGGAAAGAATTCCTACTTTTTCGGCAAAGTTACCAAGTAGCTGGCCAAAGCCGCTTGATTCAGAATTATCTTTCATTCGAAAACCGACGGTATGACTATAAGCATTATAAAATATTCTTCTTAAACACTGTAACTTTTCTCTGCGAGATCTACAAGGAATGCAATAGAAATTTATAATGTTTATATTTATTAAAGATAAGAAATATTTTTCTTGCTACTTACTGTGCTAATGACGCGCATGCCTCATCCTCAATAATCGTAGTACTTGATTCTTGAGACGCGTGTCCTGTACAAGTTTCGCAAAGGGGTTTGCAAACCAAACCAGAAGACGTTAGTCCATCTGTGAGCGGAGCGTTGGCAGTCGTGGAACCGCGCAAACTGCCGGTCCCAGATATCATCTGCCAAGAACCACCAGATGACGAAGATTCGTTTCGTTGTCGAAGACGTCCGGGTACAGGAACTGCTACGGGAGAAGTTCTATTCGGAGGAAGAGGGGATCGTGATCCATGAGCAATACCTTCCTTATTTGGAGAGGGGTAAAATGACCATGGTACAACATTCCTGAAATATGAAATATTATAATAAGTATCGGTGGACATTCGTCGGAACGAAATATGAAGGAATGAAATATAAACGAACCCATTACTATGACAGTCGTCTTGACTCTCCGTGGAAGCACAGTGAAACACGGCTGGTGGATTATTATCTTGACTATCTCTGCTATTCTGACTAACAGAGCTACACCAACTATTCAGACTTAAGTTAGAACTGACTGAACTTAATGTCACTACTGATTCACTATCAAACATAACATTATCTAACTGTGAATCACTATCGTTACGTAGAACCGTATGTCTGGACCTGTTGTGACGTGGATGAATGCTGAATTCTTCGTCATGAATGTGCTTCAGAAAATAAAAACAAAAGAAAAATATTTCTTCTCCTTTGCTTAGTCGATCTTCCAAATCATGACCAAATAACATCCAGTCGTATGCTATTGTGTAATAAAGTATTTGAAAAGCACTTAGGGACGTATGTATTGCACCATCAGCCCACAAACTTATCCTCAATAGTGAAATAAATAACGGTGTGCGATCCCATCCTGTGAACAGTATCTGATTAATTATATTAAATTAAATTAAATGCTGTATCATCTGTTACTCGGAAATACATACCTGAAATACAATGTATCAATATGCCATTACTACTATCACTCAAGTATCTTAATATGAGTTTTAAATAATTTTGAGTTAACTCGACTAGATCCCAGACTTGGTATTGTTCCCAACTGATCCGTAACTGATTAGAAATTGAATCTTCAGGCACTCCAATTTGTGCATCTACGTGAGTCTGAGACCAATCGAATACTAAACCTTTAGCCAGATAATCATTTTCTCTAAACTCCCTGAAGAATTCACATCCAGGATATGGCAGTGAAATTAGAGTGAAGTCTGAGTACCTTTTCTCTTTATCTACTTTCTCTGAGGAAGTCACACTGAGTACCAAACAAGATAATTCTATTTAATAGTGTTTAAAGGTGGATTTAGAGTATGAGAAAATATTCAACATACTATTAACTGATACAAAACTTGAATCTAGCAAGAATTGAGAAGCAGTTCTAATAATTATCCTATACTTAATGTTGTCATATCCTTAAACAATTATGTTTTAAGACCAATCTACACTTACTTCATTCCAAACTTGACCTTCTTCTTCTCGACCATGAAATCGATAATAGTTCCTACATTAAGTGTTTTCAGGAGTTTGATATCTTGATGCCTAACTTTATCAAACAATTGCCAGTCGCTAAGTACAGAATCACCTCCTCGAGCTTCATCTACTTGTTGTTGAATCGAGACTATGCCTTCACTACCAGCAAATAAATAATCTAGCCCAGATCTACCATAAATTTCAGGTCCACCAGACAATGTGGCTGATCTGCAGACATGTCTACCTTTATACAATATTACTGGCAGTGGAAATCTTGAGCGACACCTGGCAAATCTAGCACTCTTTATCAATTCCTTCAATTTATTGGGGTCATACATGCTTTCATATATAGTTTCTGTTGTGCGTGGCAGTGGTGGTGGCGTATCGCACATGTTTGGATTTCTATACTTCTCATATTCTAAAATGATAAGGTGGCTAGGATAATGTGCACTGAGATCACCTCCATTATTGTTTATTGTAGAGTGAGTATAATCTAAGTCAGTGAGTAGTAGACATCTTCGCATAATTGCCTGGCTCTAAAAGAATAATATACCTTACATACATAATAACATGTCACACATAATCGATTATAGAGAAACAATAAAGTTAAATAATAGAATTTATTCATTGTAAAAATGTGAATTACCGTACTATCTGCATCCTTAGCTCGATAAGTGTTTTTTGAGAAGTATATAAGAAGTTTTTGTAAATCTTGAATAGTAATTTCTGTCATGATTGGAATAAATTTCCACAGATTACAATATTGTAAACTTAACTAAAAGCCAACTTTTTTTGTGGAGGTCCTAAATTTCTATAATTCTCAAGAAAATGCTCACAAGGCATTAACTGTGGCCAATGTCTCGCATATGAAAGGAATGGCACGAACACTGTATTTAAAATACACCACACAACATCACAGTTTAACATTTGTTATATTCTATTTCTCACAAGTCGCTTTTAAATGTAAATAACATGGCATTCGATACAAACACAATAAGATTATAGGTATTCAAGAGAATTATTTAATACCAATCGTTCAACGGATAAAGCTTTAATCTTAAGAGAAACTAAGGATTTTATCAATGGATTTTTGTAAATAAGCTTGATCTCTGAGTCAGTAAATATAACAGTGATTAAAATTTATGTTATAAATAGCACGAATTTCACCTAAAACGATTTTACCTTATTCACAATGCACTCAATGAAGTATAATAGAGAAATGAACAACTAATAAACAAATAAGGTACAAACATACAATATTTCAATAGTGCCATGCTTGGAAAAATAAATCAGTATTGCTTGAAATTCTTACCTAACACTAACAAACACGTTGTTTGTGCTCAAATATAATAATAAACAAAACTGTTATAATTTATTATGGTGATATTAAAACTACGTATTCAACAAGCATTACCTTTCAAGGAAAAATTATAGCAAGATTGAAATAACTGTTAATATATTCATCAGTAGTATTCAAAACATTGTACAATACATCTTGTTCACTTCGTTCACGTCGACCGTTTGCACTTGTCGTTTCACCGTCGGTTGTGTATAGATTACATTCAATTTTAAATTGAATTTTTCTTGTCTCTAGTATCGTGTAACGGAAATATGTGTATTTGTAAAATTTGAAGCGAAACGGAAAATGAATTCCGTTCTCGAATAAAAAAGAAAGGTGTTCCTTCCGGTAGCGTTTAAACAATATTAAAAATGAAAACTTCTTTTAGGACAACGATGCGAACGCATACAGTAGGACTTAACCTGATTCAAGTCATGCACACCGCTTTCATTGTTATGAACACATGAGAGCCACGTCTGAAGAGATTTGTACAAGTTCTATCAGACGATGATCAACCGTGGAATCAGAGAGTTTCTCGTAGGAGATATCCATGATATCTCATCGCAACCCTATGTGAACAATAATCCAACGGGATAACCTAGACATCACTCCCAAGAAAATTGATTTCGCGTTACTCGAAGTAATTCGAACCTGTCCCAAGCACACTGTCATCCTCCTTCCCCTCGTTTCGTACGTTGTCCCAAGAGTTTACGCCATCAAACGGATTATCCCTTTTATCAATGGTTTCCGCGTCGTATCTAAAGGTCGCTTTCCGTTTAAAGGACAGTGGTATCCCTCTTCTTGGACGTCGAGATCTCTCGTGTCGTGTTCAACACACCACACGTTCTCGGTTTTCAGTCTCTTCTACCACGCGGTTTACCGAACACACAACTCTTTAATCTCTCGAATTCGATGAAACAACTATACTTCTTTTTTCTTCTCTCCCGTACGCTGCACCAGCAGAACGTGTTGTACCAGTTGCCTGCCAGGACGAAAGTACGGAGTGAAACGCGGCGTAGAAAGATAACCTATTTTTGCAATGTGGAGAACGCGTGCTTCGCTCCGATGGTATCACGAGATTTTCGCGACATTACAGAAATGCATAGAAACGCGAGATTCTTGATCCGCTGCATCGATTCGAATACCCTCGTTCACTCGAATACTCTTACCATTAAATTACAGATATTTCGTTTATTTTTATATAGAACCAGTTACATGGAAATTAACTTATTCGAACGTTTCTATCAACTATGCAGTCTTTTAACCATTAATTTACCTATTCGAGAGAATGCTCTTCGCATCGAGGAGATTGTGAAAGTTGATGCAAATTTAAACATCTGCACCGTAACGCGGACAAATAGAAGTAACAAATCTGATTAAATTTTATCGTAGCGTTCATTTTATTGCATTTTACTCGTCTTTCGAATGCATCTATACGCATTGACCTTGTTATTCCCGAGGAATATATAGGGAACTGTAAGCCACTTTATGCAACGAACAGCACGTTTGCAAATACAAAACGTCGCAAGAGACAATACTCCCGGGCATCTATTTTAGGTTTCTCATATTTTTTCGTATCCTCTTATAAACAGCTTGAAATCACAGTACGCTGGGATAAAAATATTTCTGACGATATTACGAGATACTTTCACCCTTAAATACTTGTTTATTTTTACGCATCCGTATATCACAAAACCGTGAAGAATCTCACATATTTTCGTAAAATATAGTTCGTCGACGTTCTAAAAATAATGTTTCCTTTCGAATTTTTTCTCAGCATCGAAACGTCCAAATAAAACGTCCATTCCCAAGTCGATTCGTTGTTCGCATCAAAACGATCGCGACACAGCGAAAACAACTGTGTCGATTTACCACGGTAAACGATTCGGTATCGTTAAAAATATGCGTGAAAATAAATCCAGCGTCCACTGTCCCGGAATGACTCAATCGTTCGTACAAGGAAATTCGATGAAACTCGATACCAAAGAAGTCACCGAGTGTCATCGTGGAAATGATCGGACGGAATAAAAAGAAAAGCCAAGTAAAAAAAACAATAGATAAGGTTTGATCGTTCGAGTTATTGACGCGGGAAATGGGGGCGCAAGAAAGTACGAGCGGTTTCGTCGGTCCGCGTTCAGATGGCGCTCACCGTTGCTCCCTCCAGTTCCAGGGCGGGGCGCATGCGCGACCGGCGGGGATATTTCTGGACAAACGATCCAGTGGAATTGGAACGGGAACGGTCGTGAACCGGGACTGGCACGAGCATGAGAGGTGGCACGAGACGCAAGATGGCGAGTAAGCAATGAAACGGTGCTGCGTCGTCGATGGATCATCGTGCATCTTTCCCGGGCAGATCGTCCGTTCTGTGTGATATTCGCGCTGGTATGGGGCCGGGGCCGTTTCTGCGAGTGCCGCGTGCTGATATACGACGCGCGTGGGCCTGGTGATTCCGTCGAGCGGCGAGCCATAGAGACGATTCGCGGGGCGAAGCTTACACTCCGCCGCTACCTTACCGCTCATCGAACGAAGACGACGGGGCCACGACAAAACGCAAGTGTGTGTGCGGTGCGTGCGCGTGCGTGTGTGTGTGGTGCGCGCACCCCCGGGTGAAAGTAAACAAACGGTATGAGCACGGTACTGGGCAGTGTCGGTGATCCGGCCGGTCTCCTGGATCCCGACGTCGAGACCATCCTCGAGGAGAAGAACCAACTGATCAGCCGGCAGTATGCGGAGATCGAGAGGCTGCAACGCGAGCTCAACGAGGTCATCGGCGAGCGGGACGCGCTGCTCTGCGAGGTGTCAAAGTTTAAGTTCGAGCGCGAGATGACTGACCTGAAACGCCTCCACGATGACAGGTATGTTCACGTTCCCAGTGTATCCGTGTACTCGCCTTCTTGGCAAATCCAACGCGACTTGGCTCACCGAATCCTAAAGGGGGGGTTACTCTCGTGATCTTTCGTCAGTCTTTCGAAAACTATTCCCGAATCTTTCCATTTCGATACGAACGCGTGTCGCTCCTCGACATTGAACGGTTCTCTGATGCAACGTCACGGCCCTAACGCGCACAACAAGCGTGGACTAGGCTTTCGTCGCGTCGCTTTAGAATTCGTCGTATCGCGCGTCCGTCACCGGGACGTGGAAACTCGTTGGAATATATAAATAATGTATCAGTCTTGTTCCTCCGTCCACGTGTTTCGCGCGATACCGATCGCCCCGGCGAATCGTCGCTTTTTCGTTAAACCGTAGTACGGTCGCACGATAGTCTACTCGAGAACCCGTTGCGTTCCTGAAAGTGAAACGTATTATTGTTAGGTATTATCGTTAAGTGCTGTCGGCGTTAGATTGTTGTCCCCAACATGTATCGGAGACCTGCACCTCCGGGAAACCGTGTTCGACCGATACGTGACTCGAACGCGCCTGCATCGCCAGTTACACGTTTATTTTGGACCGCTGTACGGTCGCGCGGGGGTTCACTCGAGAGTCTGTCGCGTTTCCACGCGCGTCCAAGGGTACCTAACCTTGTTTACTTGTTCGGATTTTATTTTTGTTATCTGGACGCGAAGCGGAATGCACTGTCACGCGTAGCGGCCCCGTCGGCTTCTCAGAAACTTATCGCAGCCCCAGAAAATCTACTCTGCCGTGTAATTGAATTGAATGCGTCAGTGTGTCCGTTACACGGTATCTTCTCACAATTTGCGATCATACGAGGCTGTTGACGGTTCGAACAATTACCCAGCGGAAAGGACCAATCACTCGCAGATGAAATAAGAATCAAATGCTTTATCGATATTAACCCTTTGAACTTTGTAGGCTCCGATATCGCACCAGTTATAATATTAAATATTTTCATGAATCTCAAAGAAACTACCCCAAAATTCTTCGATTTTCCACACATCCAAATTTTGTACTAAGGAAAATAAAAGATGGAAGGAATGTTATAGCATTTCTCATTTTCGCTAGGAATACTACAAAAATTGGTTGCTGATAGATCACAAAACAGCCCGGAGTGCTAAGGGTTAACCCTTTGCACTCGACGATATTTTTCATGAAAAATATTCATTACTTTCTGACTAAATATTAACGATATTTTTCGCAACTAACGCAATTGATTATCTTATATAAAATAAGAGACAGAACTATTTTACTTCGATGTTTTATGTGTTGATACGTTACACAAGGTTTAATATTGAATTGAAAATTTTATAAATTTGCTCGAATCAGGTGGCGACTGTAAGGCGCCCCTCGAGTGCAAAGGGTTGTCTCGAGCTGATGCTCGAAAAATGTTTCTCAAATTCCGAATGCATACCAGAGAGATAAAAAATGAACGAATAAAATTCCCTTGGAAACGAAAGAATCCACCGTAACGCGTCTAACGCGGTATGCAGGGGCTCGGTGTTGCTTTCGAAAGTTATTCGCCAATTTCCTGGATGTACCTTACGTGGCAATTAATGCGTTACGTAACAGCGTGTTCGAGAGGAGCAGCACGTTCTCCGAAAACTCGCGTGTTACGGTAACATCGCAACGGTGCGAAAAGCGTTGAGATCGGTTTCGATTTCCGACTGCCATCGCGTTGACGAGGTTTCTTAACCCCTCGCGCTCCAACAGTCTTCCGCCAAAAATACCCAAGACTTTCTGACGAAATACAGTGAACATTTCCCGAAAGTAACTCAACGAGAAACCGTACATGAATTATTGCATCATACGATACTTTACGCTAAATATTACAATTCACAATGTTTACCGGAGCAAATCGAGTGGCGACTCGGAGGCGCCTATGCAAAGGGTTAATTCGTTGAAGGAAAGAAAGAAGAGAATTAACCCTTTGCACCCGGATGTTTCTTGCTAGAAATATTTAACATTTCTTTCGGAGACGATGTTCTTTGAGACTAATTCGAAGAGAAATAACCATCGAGGAACGAAGCTGTTTTATTCCAGTGTTTCACGTATCGAGGCATTACACAAAGTTTAACCCTTTGAACTTTGTAGGCTCCAATATTGCACCAGTTATAATATTAGACACTTTCATGAATCTCAAAGAAACCACCCTAATATTATTAGAATTTCCACACGTCCGAATTTTGTACTAGAAGGAAAATAAAAGTAGAAATGTTATAGCATTTCTCATTTTCGCTAGGAATACTATAAAAATTAGCAGTTGCTGATAGATCGCAAACAACCTGGAGTGATAAGTAAAGTCGAAAAATGGAGCATGTACTCGTCGAACGCCGGACGAATGCACGTAGAGTATATTTTAATGAAGGATGAAAGCGAAAAAAAGAAGAATTACATGTTTACGTGAAAAAATAAAGAATTCACCGCTGAAAGAATTAGTATCGTGTCCAGCTTTATGACGTGTATACTCGTCAAACACAGTTAACTGGTTAAATATCACATTCTATAGTTTTACTGCGTCAAATCAACCGGCGACCGAGAGTCACCTCTCGAGTGCAAAGGGTTAAAGCAACGAAAGTTGTTTCGAAAGTGTCGAGAATTCCTTGGGTATCGCGGAGTCGTATCGCTGGATTGTAGGAATGCTCGATATCGAGCGAAGGGAAAAAATAATAATCAGCTAATCAGCGCCGAGGATATTGCAGATAACACTGACTAATATCCTCGGGACAATTAACCTTGATATAGCCGGCCGGCTCTATTGATTATTGCGACACGATGAGAACACAGGAAACCTCTCATGGTACATTGTTGTTCGTCCAGAAATTGGGTCGATCATTAAATCGCGTCGCGTTATCTGAAAGTCGCGTCGCACTCGAACAATCGATGCGTTTCCCGTCGAAGGGCGGAGGAAACGAATGCGACTGGGCCCAAATATTTACGCCGGGCGACGGTGAATCGTTGCCGGCTCACGCCTCCGTCGACGAGAATTATTTGCGCGTGGGCCAACTCGTTAACGCGTTCACCGCCGCGAGAATCTTTAGCGTTCCGTGTAACGTTGCTCGGTCTTTCATAACAAACGCAAATGCGATTAGAATGAATTAACCCTTTGCACTCGGCAGCCGACTCTCGGTCACCGCTTCATTCCGCGCGGTGAAACTGTAAAATCTAATGTTTAACGTTGAACTTTGCGTGAAATATTGGATTAAATAGCTTTGTTCCTCGATGTACTTGCGATTTCCCTTCGAGTTCCAAAGAGTATCGTCTTTGTCTGGTAAAAGAATGTTAAATATTCCTAGTGGGAAACTTTCGGGTGCAAATGATTAACCCTTAACGAAGCAGTGCCATTATATAAGCGACATGGCACGTTTACCTGCTGTTGTTCTTTTAATATTCATAATGAGCACGTTAAGCATCGTGCTAAATCGCTTCTTACCTGTATTACGGCAGTTTCTCGCGGCGAGTCAACTTGAAATACTTCCGGTCCGTTAAGGGTTGGTAACGATTCGCATTTATGGCTCGCAGTGGATCCACGAATTGAACGTTCAACGCGAATTACGAATCTAATCGGCGCGAATCTTATGTAAACGAAATTTTAGTCGGTGTACCAAATTTCACAGAATGTTGAGTACGTTGTTTCACTGGGTCGAGGGTCAAACGCTGACCGACGGTTCCCCGTGAAAAGCGTTGCATCGTTAATTGGATGAGAAACTTTGAATAAAATATTAAACTGTCCGACTATGAGTAACTTGAACTTTTCGAGATGGGTTCAAATATATCCCATAAAAAGCCGAGCAAAGGACAGTTTGTAACCCAGCCAACCCCAAAGGGTTAATTCAGTTGCAATTGATTATGGAATTTTAATGATTCGTTAAAAGGCACTCGAGAAACAATGAGACTGTAACGAATAATTAGAGTAGAAGTGGATATGAATATTTAATGATCGCACGAAACATTGAATCGTCGAGTGTCTAATTATTGAATAAAACTGAACGTCGAGTCCGCCTCGGCGCGGAACGGGTTAGCAGTCGGTCGAATCGGTTCAGAGGTTATTCGTTGGTAAACAAAGGGAACTGTCCGCGGCCTCGCGCAACGAGAAACGAGAATTTCTCACAGCGCAACGGCGAGTGCAAGGTTGAGCACGCTCCGAGGCGTTGCGCGCGGCCGCGTATCGGGCCGTATCTAAAAGTGAAAAAA